GTTTACTGAACATTTGAAACATCAGCGAGTATCGCCTAATGCTTTGGAGCACTTTTGAGAGTTTCGCGTGACTACAAAACTTCTAGTTTAATTTAAGGAGACCCATACACAACATGGCCAATGGCAGTCATCTCTCACCAGTAAACGTTGCAAACACTCGACCGCGCTAAGATGCGCAGCGGCCGCTCACGGCAAGTCACACACCGAAGCAGACCGCGTGCCGATCAGATCCTTACAGACGAGAGGGCGAATCGATTCCACAACGAGGGAAGGCTGACGTCAAGCAGAGCATTCCACAACACCTCACCAGGACTGATTGAGATTGTGGAGGGTTATATGCAAGCTTGGAACACAACATTGCCGTAGTGACGTTGTCTTTGTCCTGCATGAATAAATGATTGATCACGGTGGTACTCAGGATTTACCTCATTGTGGTAAAATAAGACTCACATAGAGGGGCAATCTTTGTAGCAATAAAGTTAAGAAGATATCAATCATCAATATTGTTATTAGTATAGCGCATATAACAAATGTTACGATATTAGCTCAGTGACTAAATCAGTTTGTACAAATAATCAGTAAATAAAAAAACACTACACTATATATATAACACATGTAACCACAAAAGAGAAAAAAAAAAAACATAAATCACAAACATTAATGGAAAATGGAAACACAGAAACACAAGAAAATACACACACAACCAGAAAACAGACGTGCAATAGATGCCGTAGAAATATACAAAATAAAAAAAAAAAAAAAAAAGGAGGAAAATAGAATATGAACTAAAAATAAAAAAAAGAATGAAATAACACACAAATAGATAAAGGATCAAAGCAAAATCAATATGATGAGGAGACATTCAGAAGTAGTATGGGTGAAAAGAAGATAAACCGAAGAGACAGTCAGCACGACTCAATCCACGGACTCAAAGGATCCAGACACAACAATATCCTCGAAACAAGACTACATATTGGACAACAGGAAACTGGACGAGACATGAGAGAAGCAGGTACAACACAGAAACAGAGTTAAGGACACAAACAAAGACGACAACATTGCAAGCCTAGTAGCCAAGCTATAACGTGGCCTACAGAACTGCACTCCGCTTAGGATAGGTTGAGGGAAAAGGGTACAAGTAAGAAGTAGGAACAGAAGTGGAGAGTGCACACACAGGGGAAAAGGTCCCATGAACCTGAATTTGGTCGAGAGCGAGTGGTCAGTGAATGTTTCCACACTCCCTCGGCCGGGGCAGGCCTTCTCTGTCACCTGTTACCTTAATAAACCCTCGAGAGTTCATAGAGGGAAGGTTGATAAAGGTTTTATATAAGACTGACTGACTAGAACCCCACGCGTATACAAAACATTTTAGCGACCACAAGGTTAAATAACTGAAGACACAGCTGTGGAACCATTTAAAGGTAGGGAGCGGTAGAAAATGGAGAACCAGCGTCGAGTGCGCTAGAATTATGATGAAAAAACATCTGCCCCTTCCTTCAACTTCCTTACAGAGCCACTCACTCCAACACACATGGACGCGCACATGACCATGAGGGCACGAAAGAGTGTGTGGCACGAGATGGAAGGCTGACAGGCAGGTAGGCCATCCAGTTATTTTAGCCGGGGCGGCTCAAATGATTGGTCGTACTTTTTACAGCGCCACGGCTTCCACATACCTCATTCACACCAACAGTGTTTCAGGGCCGGTTCGGAGCTGGAGCTTGAAAAGCACCGGGTTTTCCTCTTCACACCGCAGCGGAGCAGCCTGTTAGCTCCAGTTCCGGTTCATTTCGAGCACCAAAAAATTGTCCGGCTAGAGCAAAAGCAACACATACGTCACGCTTACGTCGAGGTGGGTTCAGGGGCAGGGGCGGGATCAACTCCTGAACAACAACAAAAAGCTGGCGTTTTATCCAGTTTGTACACAACGATGGAGAAACTTAACAAGCAGCAGTGGTCCACTGAAGAGACCAGCTACCTACTGGGAATCTGGTCTTCTGAAGAGGTACAGAGGAAGCTGGAGCACAATCGGCCATTGTTGTTGTTGTCGGTGTCAGCTGTGAGGGGTTTCCGCGCGGTTTGGCTTTATGAAGCAGGCACGCAAACGGTTACGTCATGACGCAAACGATGACGCAATGACGCAGCACCAGTCGGACTCTGGGCAGTCTGAAAAGAGCCGGAGCTAAACCGAAGAACCGGTTCTGAACCTGAAAAGCTCTAGCACGGAGCTTGAACCGGAGTTGCGTTGGTGTGAATGAGGTAT